TGTTGTGATAGCTTTGTCCGATTGTTTGGATTGAGGAAGGCTCCCATCAACCCAAATCAATGAGGATTCTGAGGCCATTCCTTCAGAAAGGAGCGCATATGCTGCAGTGTTTCTGTGGACAACGATCGAAGTCGACCACTATCACCAACGGTGAGACACAAACATAGCACCATAGCTTTGCAGCTACCTTCGCTTTGCATGCTTTCTCTCTTGAGTGATGAAAAAGAGGGAAGATATAGAGAGAGGGTAGAAAGAGGGAAGGGGGGGCGAGTGGTTTCATTGGCCACTCGATTGTGTGAGTAACATCTTCCGAGTCTGCAGTCGAGAGAGCCTCTCCTCGCATCTGTCCCGAGTTCTGAGTGCGGGTATAGCTGCTATCAGTCGGCATGCAGCCAGCCGCACTACACCAAAGAGAGAGGGCTCCGGATACTTTACCAGACCAAGCTATATTTGCAGACGAGCCTGTTCCAGTGCTGTATATGAAGCGGGCCAAAAAATGGACAATGCAGGGATCAAGTCATTAAACTTCAGGGGCCTGGAGACGCAGCTTTGTTTAGGGCCCCAAACAAGCAGCGTGTTCAGCACCATGGACAGTGCCATAGAAAAGCACACAGGAACGAGGCTCCTAAACTTTTTTAAATCAGGCTTTCTTTTAATAGATTTATATCAAAACCCGTCACCACATTGATTACATTTTGTCCAATGATCCAGATTGACAACAGAGTTAAATATTAATTTAACCAACTGTCTAAACTCTTGAGCTTTAAGTACTTTAATGAATGTTGAAAAGCAGGCAGAGTGAGTACACCTCTTTTGAAAGTGACTTCGCCACATGCCCATTATAAAAGCAGAAGTCTCAATGACACACGTGCGTGTGCACACACACAAGCTCATACATAACCACCACTCAACGGTCTTTGGCAAAGAGCCTAAGATGCCTGCCATGTCCTCTACTCATGTTTCAGCAATTTACTGCATTGCTGCTGTTGTTCACTCTCAACACAACTACACCTCCAGAGTCAGTAAAAAAAAATCCTACAGTATTTCCTGAGCAAGAGAAATGCAACCCCTTCTCTCGTCTAAGTCACCTGCAGTACATAGCATATCCAGTAGTTTCAGCTCGCAGCAGCTCTCAAATTCAGGGCAGACAATTAGAAACTCCATTAAGCACAGCTGATTCCTCTGAGGAAGTTGGACCAAAAGCAGCACGCACACTGGGATCTGTAAGGCTTGGATATAAAGCACCATCAGTCTTTATCCTGCATCTCTACTCACTGTCACATGAACCGTATGACTTCAATTTAAACTTTATGATTCAGCTCAAAGGTATTGATAAATGGATGCAAAGTTCAAACTTGTGCCGTGTTGCGTAAAGTGTTTATTTGAAGTTTGTTTGGTATTCATTTACTTGCAAGTGTGTTTGTTTTTTCAATCCAATTATCTGTATTCGACTTGTTGTTCCACATGAACTCTTGAGGAGTTCAACTGATGCTCTATACTCAGCCAAAACTGTCTCATGTAGATCTAGTTTGAGAACATGCTTTTGGGGGATTTTAAACAGACACTACCCTGCTTTTGGATAATTAATCAGCCACTATTACGTCAAATCTAAACTGGTTTGTCTATTTGTTAGCAGTTTTACATTATTGACTCAGTATGTATCTCTCTCATCGGACAAAGGGGGATGACACTATTAACCTCGGCTGATACTCTGACTGCATCACTAGCAACCAGATCCTGTAAAGCAGGGGGAGCAGAAAGTGGTTTGCTACAGAGATTCAGGCACCTTGCCAAAATCTTTCCCAGGGGTTTTAGGTAAAAGACGTGTCAGAGTAAGCTTAAATGTTTGCACCTGCTTTCTTTTAAGGCATCAAGTCTGCACCTGGCTTTTTGTGTTAAAGGTAAATACAGCATGGGGTGTCTGGATTGTAGGAGACTTGTATAATAGGTTGCAAACATGAGAGACCACCACACACAAGAGTGGTATTGCTTTTTCTTGTCTTTTTGATGGTTTCCAAGTTTAATTAATACTTTAATTAATAAGGTTTAATAAAAAAAAAACGTTAGGGATAGTTTATTTCTCTTCTGAGTCACCAATTTTGCAAGTCTATCAGATGTCTTTGCGAGACACCTTTTCTCACAATGTACTAACACCTAACTTGTCTTAATAGTCTTAAATAACTGTTCTCTATGCTTGTGTTTTCTGTTTTTGTGGTGTTTCGCAAAAAATAAGAACAACATTAAGGTTAGTTACTGATATCATTTTAATTTAGTAAGTTCATATATTTTTTCAATGTATCTTAAATGACCTTGCTATGGAGAGATGTACCTTTTACTGCACACAATGTTATGTGGTTATTCTTGTTTTGTGTGCCCATCCATCTTGGGCTTTGTGCAGTTTTAAAAGGCTCTATATGTGCCACACTAGCTATAATCGAACTGGGATTCGTGGTGTTAGTGTGAATGTGGTAATGAGCATTGTGAGCCAAAGCATGACACATTTACCTGCATATCTCTTCTCACACATCTCTCCTTGTTGCCTCCTGGAGACTTGGCGAGACAGTTTAGCTGACATTACACAATGAAACTAGCTCCAGCTATTGTGAGTCAACACATTGGTGAGATATCTCAAGGACACATTGGAGTGACAAACTTGAGAGATTAGAAACAAACATTAGTCTCTCCCTCTCTCAGTCTCTCTCTCTTTCTCTTTCTCTCTCTGAACACTTGCAATTCATTATTTTTGCACAAGGGGGCAGCATGTGTAAAGAAATGACTGAACAACATGTTACTCCTGTGGTGGCACCTGAACGAGGGACGTTGCTTTCTTCTTGCAAGTATATTAAATTAGTTAATATGCTGCAGTGTACATTGTATGCAACCTGGAGATTTATAATGATGAAATACAAGTCTGATAAAATGGGAACACACCAGGCTATTCAGCATAAATGCAGAAACAAGTATGTGGCACAAAGAGGTGGTTCATAATCTAACTAGCAAACTTATAGAGAGTTATCAACTAAGAGTGAGAATTGCAAATGATAGCGATATGTGCGGTGCAGTTCATACAAACAGTGTTTTATTGCTCGTGGACATATCTCAGCTGGAATGAAGTGAACATCAATTGTCTCTGTTAGAGAGGGGAAGCCTAGCAGATGCTCATTAGGGAATACTTGATCTTTTCCTGACAAAGATGTATGTCTCATGTCTCTATAGAGCTTGTGAAAAAGCTAACTGCTTGTACTGGAAACCACCAGCTGGGCTTTTGTTCTGAGAAATGTATATCAAGCTCCTGCATATTTGTTAGAGTGATACGTATATCAATGTTGTTATTGATATTTCTCTGTGCTGCAGTGACATATTTCTTTCTACCACGCATTGGCATGTCAGTAAGAATACAGATTGCTGATTTGATTTAGAATTATATAAACTTTACTTTTGCTATCTACATTTTAGCTATCTATCTTTCCCCGGGGAAAGATTGTAGCTGCCCTTAATCCTACTACACAGTACACACACACACACACACACACACACACACACACACACACACACACACACACACACACACACACACACACACACACACACACACAAAGGGGAATACACAAAGGTACCAGTAGTTCACATTCACCCTTTCATCCATTAAATCCAAATGTTACGTAAGAGGGAGGAAGAGGGGGCAGACAGTGGTGGTCAAAAGAAAATTGTGTCTCTCTCGATCTCTCTGTGGGCTGGTTTTGGAGAGAATGTCAGACAGAGTCCTAGAAAAAGTCTCTAAATGTTTCATGCCGTTTCATCACGGGGAAGAGAAAGGTTTGCTGTGTGCAGCTGAAGACTCACGTGTTCTTCCTCCCACAGTGTGTGTGCGCGTTGGTGGGTAGGGGGAAGGGGGAGGCGTGTGTGTGCACCCCAGCCCATATCATAATCAACATGAAAGCCAGGGAATGCACTCAGACACGTTTGCAGGACATTTTGGGGGACTTTGCATTAATTTTGCTTATTGTTAACCCTAAGTAATTACCATAGTCATTCAGATGAAAACAGAACCGCTTAACATTGGGCTGAAAACAACTGCAAATTCATTTGTGTGATAGAAACATACAGAACATATATCATATCTGAAGTATGCAAATATACTCTCCTAGTGACTCACACTTTTCTAAGCTTTGGTGTTACAGTATTTTATAATAAGGACCATCGTGCTGTTGTTCTATAGGTTATTTGTAATGTTTTGGGCAAGTCCATTTCATTTCCATAAGCCCTAAAACATATGTATCTACGTGTTGTGTCACTGTCTGGATCTTTGGTGTACCATTTCTGTTTTTGGTTCGTACTCTGTGTGCTTAAACCTGTTGCAGGTAATCCTTTTAGCCACAAATAATAAGTTCTTTTTGGCATGCGAGGCTAAAGGGTTCTAGGACATAAAATAATAATAATAATAGATTTATTTTGTTAGCGCTTTTACAGATGCTCAAAGACGCTTTATATTCCTTAAGTATAAGCTATGATGATAAGAATGCATGTGTAGTATCAGCCAAAGCTGATTAAGATATGTCTGTTCATGCACCCCACAACTGGAATTTTAATGCAGCATCCTTGCTGACCGAAGTGCCCCCCCCCTACCCCCCCACCATTTAAACTCTGCCTTGCAACTTCTGATTTGTACTGTAATTCAACGAGACTATATAAGATCAGCCAACTCCTCTTTAAGATGTGCATTACCTCATAAGAATAAAAATCACGCGTGCTCACACACAGACCCCTGCATAAACACCCACTCAGCATTTACCCCTTTCTATTTTTTATATTCACATGTATTCTTCCTGGGAGATCATCGATTTTTCCCAGTACAGCTCTCCGATAACTCCTAATACGAACCTCAATCACGTATGATTGCGTTAAAGGAGTTGGAGAGGGAGAGAGGGGGGTGAGACAGAGGGAGTGGGGTAGGGAGAGAGGGAGAGAGGAGGCTATGGATCGCGACCGTCCTCTTTCGCTCTCGGCGATGTAACACACCGACAGCTTTCAGGACGCACGGGAAATAATGCTCTGGCTACTTTATTATTTGTGCGCTACAACAAAAAGCACTCTGGCTTGTTTTTAACTCAACTAATTGTTGCTTTTCAGTCAAGAAACCGTCCCTGCACGCTTTAAATTGCATCTCTGCAGCATCTTTGCAGAGCAGTCTCTGTTGCCGATTCCTTTTTCTCCGGCTGCATTTCTTGGGGCCATCGACGAACCGGACACGGGGCTCGCATATTTGGGCTCCGGCACCTCCTCCGGGATTAGCGAACGGTTTCATTCATCATTTGCATGGAGTGAATAATTAGGCGGAGAAACTTCAGATCATTCCTTCACCCGTGCACGAGCGTCTCGTGCATGGATTCAGGTTGATGCGAGTTATTAAAAGGCGTCGTGGAGCCAGAGCAGAGGCTCCTGTGCAGATGAGTGTAAAGCCGTCCTCTGCGGACGCGGCGCTGTTCACCTGGAATACCTGAAGCTCTCCCATGACACGCATCTGCATCAACTTGCCAACACTGTTGCATGTTTTCGCAGCTGAAATGTCGGCCCCAGTGGCCTAGATCTATTTTTTATATATGATCGGTCGCTATTGATTCAAAGCCCTGAGTGTCAGAAACTCTCAGCAGCTGATTTACACGCGCACTACTGGCCCCTCGAGAGGATGCTGCCTGTCGCGCAATGATGCCCGGCACTCGGTGGATTTTCTGATCAGGATGACATTTGGTTGAAAAACTCGTGGACGCAAAACACAGAAACAACTATCTCATTTTTGTTTGCACCAAGAAGCTGCACCAAGATCCGACCTCCGCCGAACTAGACTCTCGGTTTTTCAGACTCGGTTCGGGGAGATGGCCGCGATCGCCAGCTCCCTGATCCGGCAGAAACGCCAGGCGAGGGAGTCGAACAGCGACCGGGTTTCTACTTCGAAACGTCGCCCCAGCCCGAGCAAAAAAGACCCCCGCTCTATCTACGAGAGGCATTTCTTGGGGGTCTTCAGCAAAGTCCGTTTCTGCAGCGGCAAGAAAAGACCCGTTCGGCGGCGACCAGGTCAGTGCTGTGATTTTCTTTTACTGATGTGTGTTATGTGTGCTGATGGAAGCGGTTTTCCTCAGCCCCCCTAACTCCACCCCGCCCCTCTTTGGAGCATTATACTGCAGTCAAGGGTTTCAATCTGAGCCCGAGGAGAAGGTAGATTTTCTCCGCGGTGCGAAAAATCCACCTGTTCCATCAGGTCTTCTTGTTGTCTGTCGATCCACCGCACGACAAAACCCTTTCCCATTTACCGAACAAGAGCAGCCTGAATGTATAGGGAATTGTCTGTATGCTGTGACGTTACCCCCTGTATATTGTGATACTGCTGTGAATAATCAATCACCCTAAAAAAACTAATGCTCCTGTATCCCAGTCACAGCCTGAGTATAGGATTTGTTTGCAAAGCTATATAATATATTTAAGCCTTCAATCTTGCACACTTCATTTTTGCACCCCCTCCAAACACACACACACAACTTAAATGCAATCAAAAAGACATGCTTTACATTACCTAACTCAATATTACTGCAGATTGGGGTACACGGGGGAGATAAATTGAACCGCAGTGCACCAAGGCTCTTTTGAGATTAAATGTTTTAATGATAAATGTTTATTGCCAAGAGGGAGCTTTACTGCAGTGAAGGAGGTAGCCTTAGTGATTAAGAGCTACTCTGGCTGTATTGATAGATATAGGCTCTGAGCCTACTACACTTCATGGCATAGCTTTCCCCCTTTGTTATTCTCCTGGCTTGGTCCTGGTGCACAGACAACAAGCCAGCCCTCCCCGAATCCAGATAGTTCTGTCTGTGATGAACGACACTCAGGTCCATTCAGAGTGCTGCAGACAGACGGCTGAGGAATAAGACAAGAGGACATAAAATGCATTAAAATACCATAAAATGCCTGAATATAGATATTAACTCTCAGTCAGACAGACAGACAGACAGACACCTTTGGACAGGTAGGTAACCCCTTTCAAGGGCCATAACTGGCCAGACATAAAGCCCAGAGTCACAGACAGACTCTGTGTTTCCTTTAAATTATCATCCTTATCCTTGCTTGATGCCTTGCCATATATTTGCATATAAACAGCCGATACGCTGGAGAATTTATGAATTCTGCCTGTTTAAAAGACTGTTGTTTTTCCTTCTATTCCCCCCTTCGTAAGATGCACCCTCGAAACCTCCACAGGTGTCCCATAAGGGCTGCAGGCTAGGTCAGTAGCTCAGCCTCCATCCGTGTGTGCTGTGTTTTTCTCGTCTCCACCCCATCTCGCGCCCATGTCGACTCCCCCTCGGCCAGGGAGAGGGGGAGGTGGGGAAGGGGAGGTTTCGGGTGGGACATAGAGGGAGGGAGGGGCGGGGGGCTTCAACACCTGTCTGACAGCCGACGACCCTCTCCCTTGCTGATCTCTTTTTTTATTCTTTAATTCTTCCTTCTGTGTGGCTTGATTGGATTTCTTAAGCTTACTTTCGTACTTTATTTTTTTTCTCGTAGCTAAAGCTTTCCTATAGCTAGCCGTTTGTCGCTCCTCTGTCTCTTCTCTATCTTTGTCGTTGGCTCTGCCTCTTCTCATGTCGTTCCTGCCTCATTCTCTCCGTCAGTCAGTGTCGGATCAGTCTTTATCCTCGTTACTTGTTCTGTGTCTGTAAGTTTTCTGTTGTTTAAGTGTAGTAGAGGTTCTTATAGTGTATTTTGGTGTATATGGATTTGTTGTGTTTCTCCCTGTCAAACACTTTATACAGGTGTAAGTACAGGTGATCATTCACCATTTCATGGTCATGACGCCATTTGTCGACGTACCTAAATGTTGTTGTCCTTCTGTATTGGTATGAAGTACATTTATTGACGTTTTAATGGCCCACGCACACAAAGAGTATGATTTGCTCTATGTTGCCACTGAAAGACATATTTTATGCACACACACAGTTCACTTCTCTGCTAAATGATTGGAACTGATGAGCCGTCAGCAACAACGGGGCCCATGTTGAGGTCTTAATTTATGGAAGAGTAGTTATCACATGTGATTTACTGATGTGTACTTTCCATGTGCTTTCACACACACATAAGTACAAACACACATTCTCCTCACCCTGCCTGTGATGGATGATGAAGGGCCTGTCCCAAGAATTGATGGCCCCATCCCAGGGGTAGGTGAGTTGGGGACTGATGGTCAGGATGATCAGTTGAAATGAACCCACTCTCGTTCAGGGTCACCACTCTTCATAAATTCTCTCAGGGATCTCCTTCCACATTGTCTTCTGTCAAATATAAAAAAAGAAGAAGCACAGTTAATTATTGAAGTGGTCAGTTGCAAGTGAAGTCTTAACGTCTGCTGTTTCTGTTGAAGACAGATCTGGCTAAAACTTGGATTTGTTTCTCTCCTGATACCAAGTTTACATATGTTTCTTTTGCTTTTGTTTGTTTTGTTATGCCATACTGGAATTGTATGACCTCCATGTCTTCTTAACACCTTAGAGGAAAGTCAGGCTCACTCATATTTCTTTCTTGCAATCCCATGCATCATTTATCAGAACATGTTGTAAGCCGTGCAAAACAGCAATTTTCTGTGACTGGATGTGAATCTAGCCAAACACAATTAAACTGCAGTACCAATTACATTTAGACAAAACACATAATTTGCTTCTTTTGTCAAGCCAAGAATAAACAAAGGATAAGTTTCACCCAGCATCTGAGTTGATGTCGTTTTTCATTGGAGCATGTCTCCAAATCTCTGCAATTGCAAAAACCTACGCATTTCTGTTCTAATGTAGTGTTTCTTTATTCAAAGTAAAACTTAGGAAAAATAGGAATATTTATACATAGACTGTTCTTGGCAAAAGTCGCAACCCATATGTACACTAATATTGTCATCTGACTACTGCTTTACAAAAAATATGATATCAAAATATTTTCCGAACGTTGGATAGACCGCAGAGACCGTTTGTTAAAACATATTTTCTTTTGCCTGTGGCAGAGAGTCTTTCTTTGCCCATAACTAATCCTTGTCTCCACCTGCTCCCCTGAAGTGCCGAACGCTTCGAGCAGCACCCTGGCCCGCTGCCAGATGTCTTAGCCTCAAAGTTGGAGGTCGGTTCAGGGTTAATGCAATGAAAAATACTCATAGAAACCGTAGGCCAGTTTCCTTAAGGTCAACAAAAAAAGAGCCGGAATCATTTGGGGAGAACTTGTTGCTCGTTAACACTCCTCTTCTCCTTCATGGAATATAAGTCATATCAACCCAAAACTGCACAGTTGCTTCATACCAAATAAAGAAACCATTGGCATGTCAGTGTGCATTACAAAATATGGTTTCCAAATGATGCAAAATCTGTCTTTTTTCCCCTAATAGATACAGTCAGAAATGATTTGAAAGTATTAGCATTCTCATAGATTTTCTGTCATGGTGGTCTCATTGTGAGGCCTTCCAGACAAGATAAAAGATAAAGATGTTTTATTTTGTGGTGCAACAGATGACTCATTATAAACTGTCCATCAGTCAAATTGATATTAAACAGCTGGTATGAGATTTATAAAGGGGTGATATGGTTATGGTGCTGTAAGTTTAAGTTTTTTGTAGTAAGTAAACTCCGGAGGCTGGATTGTGCCAAAAGAACAACAACACTTCCTAAATGGTTAATCAGAAAAATATTCACTAAATAAATAAATACATTGAATTTTGTAAATAAATCATGCAATTCAAAAAGTAAAACGTAAAAACACAAACCGGTAATTGGAATTTGTAAATCAATTTTAATGTTAAAAAGTATTATTGCTCTGCTGGTACACTCCAACTCCCACAACCATCTTGTCTCCTTTACTTAATTAAAGACTGTTCATTTTATGTTTGTGAAACACGTGTTTGTTAAACATTTCAGCATTTTTCTTTGATATAAAGAGCTGTGAGTGTACAAACACAGGTATAAACTATTTTGTGTGATTCTGTCACAGTTATGAGAATGCTGTTCTGACACATACTTGTTGGGGATGGGGCTGTGGCTTGGTCGGCGGTTTTTGTGTACGTGTCGTGTGTGTGTGTGCGTGTTTCAGAGCCGCAGCTGAAAGGCATCGTGACACGACTGTTCAGCCAGCAGGGCTTCTACCTGCAGATGAAGCCGGATGGAACCATCGACGGCAGCAAGGACGAGAACAGCGACAACAGTGAGTGGAGCGTTATGGAAGCTACAATTTCCAGCCTAAATCACTTAATGGCAAATAGTCACTGCGTTATACAACATATCTGTGCTATGTTTTTTTATTCTTACATAACTGATGTCAGCCTAACACTGTTAAATGTGAATTTAAGATGGTCTGGTTGAATTGGATTATCAATCCAAATTTAAAAAGGGAAGTATTCACCAAATGCCACAGCCTTTTTTTCCAAATCTGGTTATGTAATTTAATGCATGAGATATAACTGTAGAAATACATGTGTAAAAACCTACTCAGATGGATTAAGAATTCTTATCCAATTCTCCAGCATACCTTTCACAGTAAATATTTATTCAAATCTCTATCCTGAATTCAAATGAAACCCAATATCCCTGCCTGGAGCCCTCTAAGAAAACCACTTCTGCTGTGTACACTGCATGATTGTAAGTGTCACATCGTTTTGATTGATTTGGCTCTGGAGCGTGTGTGATTATCACGGGAGAAATTCGATACTTAAAAAAAATATCGCCTGAAACAACTGAGCCCCACAGCTACACTGCTAGCCGAGCCACTTCATTACAACATTTCTACTTCGATCGAATTTCCATAGTGGACTACCAGTGGATAAATTGTCTCCAGGGGATAGCCCCCTAAAGCTTTCACACCCCCGCTTCTCTCACAGGAGCTGAAAAAGCAAAAAACAGCAGAGTGTCTTCTATATTAAAACATATATGCTGTTGTAACCATTTCCTATGGGAAGTAACTGATCAAGGAAGAGATATGTGTCAGCAGAGAATGGTCGTCAAAGCGATAATGATGACACTCCCAGTCTGGAGCAGAGCCAGACAGGAAACCAATCATGACCTTTCTTCTCTAAAACAGGCTGCCAATCTTAAAGGGAACCCGAGCCAAAGCTGCTGGACTGTAGCAGTCATGCGGTGAAAAGAACGGACTCTCCCTGTCACTCGTCGTTTTATATTTTATGAGAAGATAGATCTTCAGTACTTATAGCATAAGGACAGGGTCTCCGGGACAAAAAGGATTGCTGCATGAAAAAAAGGAAAGGGGAAATCATTCATACAATGCGCTTCCACATTTGCTCTTGTAACGCTTTTTGGCACCTGCAATGTGTTGTAAAGGTTTAGGCTTATGAGGCTCCTGTTGTATGTGAGGGTTCCCCCAGCTCTAGGTAATCCTCTTGTTAAGCAATCCCACTGGCCCAGGGATGGAGAAATGCAGTGAATAATTCAGCCAGAGGAAACTAAAAATACCACCTTCCCCGTTTGTACCCAATGAATAATTCTCTCTATGAGAAGATCAGAGACGGTCCAGAGGAAGACACAGAAAGAGAGCAGGGGGTGCAGCGAGAGGAATGTGTTTGGACTACAGTGGTAAAGACAGAAAGAGTGAAGTGATGAGAGATAGAAGTGGATGAAGAACATTTGGTATTCAGGTTGTGCACTGCACTATCGATTCCCCCGGCTGGATTATCAGAATAATAGATTACCCCCACCCTCGAGCCACACCAACCTCTGACCTGCAGCATCTTCAGCAGAGGCAGATGGAATACAGTAATTTAGTTTTAGGGGGAGGTTCAGTGGAACTGATGGGATTGAGGAGCATGGCAGTGCCTGCATACTAGGTGCAACCTGATGCCGGAGTGCTTTTCAATTCCATTTTTCATTATTTGCTTTATTTCTGAGCTGGATGACAAGTGCTGAGACAGGAACATAACTGAGCAGCAGGCAGTTTTAGCTGGGGCGATGCATTGAAAATAAATGGAATTCTACTTCAATTAAACACTTGTTTGTCCCCAAATAATTCAGTACATTTTGAAAAGTAGTTTACAGCATTTCGAACTGTAGTGGTAAGCATGACTGGCGCTTAACTAACTGCCAGGGCTGTGAAACACTATTCAATTAATTAAGACCTATATTCAAATTTGAGCAGTTATTCATTTGATTGTCATCAGTTGATTGCCTGCAGTAATTACCCGTAGAATAAGATATTGCTGGTTATGAGACACCTGCAGTATCAGGCATTCACACTCCATCTGTCTCTGATGCTCCTGGTTGATGGGTGGGACAGAGCAAGTACTTTATCAAGTCTGGCATGAAGAAGGAGTTTCACCAAAATGAAATGTAAGACAGTATTAAAATACTGCATATAACAGCATAGACCAGGGGTGTCCACACTTTTTTCACCGAGGGCCATGTACAGAAACATATAAGAGCTGGGCCACTAACTAGAGGTGTATCGCCTCATAAGTTCAGTTATAAGTTAGAAAAATCAATCAAATGTAGGTAAATGATGCTCGTGAGTGTTGGCAGCTCATCCCTTAAAACAGAAGCCTCAGATTGATTATAATAAGGAGAAATAGGAAGGGTGTATTTCAAGTTTGAAAGTAAGTCATTGGGCTTTTTTCTTATCAACTAAGATATGTTAGAAAATGGTTCAAACTTTAATTGACTGAATGTATTTGAAAAGGGATCTTAATAACACATGAATACTGTGTAATATCTTTTTACATTTATATTTAAGAAGTACAATATAAAACAAGCCAAAGTTTCATTTGTGGGCCATATTCCATTATACTTTTTGAATTTGCCAAGGGCCGATTGAAAATGGTCCGCGGGCCGCATTTGGCCCCCTGGCATAGACTAACAGGCCTGTACTGCATGAACCTGCTCTCCCATCTTTGGGTTTGCATTTCTTCCTGGATTTGGAGAGGTGCCCTTGGCATATGGAGTTTGGCTCGGTGTTTCTCTAAACCTTTCCTGCAGGGTTTATTTCCTGCTGCGCCAGTATTTCTCACATCAAATGCAGATCCTTTAGCCTACCTGCGGGATTCGCTTGTAGCCGATTACTGCCCCACTGAAAGACTCAAGCGTTCCAAGGACTTCGCTTTATTGGGTTGTTTGAACCTGTTTTGTCTGTCCCTTTGACGATAGAAGATCCCCGGTAGTCTGCTAACTCTGTTCCTTCACAGTCCTACCTGCTCTTTTGCTCAGAGGCATAGGATTGTGGTTGAAAAGGAAGAGGAATTACCTTCAGACAGGTACTTTAACAGTAGTAATTACGGCATCCATCAACCACTGGAGCTGCAAATAGAAAAGCTGGACTTTTAGAAGGAAGCTGATTGACAGCTCCTGTCAGATGTGTAATACATTGGCAGAGATGGCAGGTCATAATCAGCACAATAGTGGACTAACCTGCCATACTTTTCAAGCTAAGCTATTATGGTGAATCTTTTGAAGGGCCTATTGCAAGAATGATTGCTCAGAAAAAGGTAGAATATGTTTTTATTGGTGGAGGTGCGTCGGGGTGAAACACTCCTGGGTTTTAGTGCTACGTGACTGAACTGTGGACGGTGCCACTGAGAGACACTGACAGTCTTTGGACCGACAAAGGCAGCAGCCTTGAAAGGCAAATGGAAATAGGAGCAAAAGAGCAGACGGAGGGGAAGGAGATAGTTATGACAGAAAAGTTATGAAAAAGGGATTGAGAAGCCTGAGAAATCAAAATGTAAGTTTGCTAATGGACTCAAATTCTGCCAGAGCAAACCAAACAGTCCCACAAGGGTATCCATAACTGCAAGACTGGCTAATGTGTATCCCGCATACCAGCGGCCAAAGGGTTAAACCATTGGCAGGCAAAAGCAGCACGTCAATATTTATTGAGTGAAATTGAATCTGCTCGGAGGACAGACCCATGTTGGCACGTCTCCTCTCGTCCCTGCCAGCTTTATCTGATAGTCCCCATCACCACTTGCAGAACAATCATCCCAACAATACAGTGAGTATAGAGTGTCCTCACACCTTCATCACACCAAAGCCCATGAAAGTCACAGTCCTCATATTCGATAACTTACCTACAGAGATCGCAATACTGCCAATAAAAAAAGATCTGACAAAATTGGCTATACCATTTGAGACCAAACTTTTCTAAATACAACGTGGTTGCATCTGCATAATCACATATTCGTGCCCTGAAAATAATGGACCAGCTTATTACTGTTAGAGGGTGTCCAATGTAACTGCTTTTCAAGTGGACGGGGCTCAGTTGTTAAGAGGTGATGTCACCAAATTAGGCGCACCAATCAGCATTTGGTTATAACTGATCGTACCACACACAAACGTTTCTTTTCAAATAAATTATGCATAAAAAAAAATTACCCATGAAGATTTAATGTTATAGAGAAATATTTCAGATTTTAAACCAAATTTCCAGGAGCTTTACATTTGCAAAAATTGTTTTTCCATACAAAGTCACTTAAATATAAGCGCAGGTGAAAGTACTTTGGTTTTTGCAAATCTGTGTCATAAGTGTAATTTCATCCCTTTAGCAAAATATCTGATATGTTGTCTGATTGGTTGAGGACATTTGGGTGAGGGGGTAATTTGTACAAAACCTTAATGCTTGTTAGATGCTCTGCCCTCTTTTTCTCCACCAGAACTCAATTGAAGTGTCTCTTTTGCCTCTATGTCTTTGTTCCTCTGTCCCTTTCTCCCCCCCCCCTGTCTGTTCTGCAGCTCTGTTTAATCTTATTCCTGTGGGGCTGAGAGTGGTGGCCATCCAGGGACTGAAGAGTGGCTTATACATTGGCATGAATGGCGAGGGCATGCTTTACAGCTCGGTAAGATACAACACGTAGCAGCAGTAGCACAGGTTGTGCATTAACAGTATTTTTTAATTGACATGTGTTGTGTTTTGTTCTGTTTGTTGTCTCCCTTAATATCCCACTGCAGCAAAGACTCTTCTAAAGCCTTTCATCTCCCCTCCATTTGAGAGCTCTTCAGATGTGCCTTTGTGTTGCTGTGCAGCACTGATTCCCCCCCTTTGTAGTGGAAGCAGCACCGCGCATGTTTTACATTTAATTTAACATCAAGTTCAGTGCTCAGTCCTTTTAAAATGGTCTCTTCTTCTTTTTCTGGCTAATAACGGAAGCTTATATAGCTGCTTTTGTTTGCTTTGTTTAACTTTTTCAACATGATATTAGGGATTTTTGCTGTCGTGAAAGAATGAAATATAAAAAAAAGTTATTTCGAGACTTAGTGGGGGAGTAAATATTGGTCAGAAGGATATTGTATTTGCAGTGTAAAGATATGCGAAGCTTTAGGTTAGTGTGGGTAGCAGATGCACAGGCGGGGGTGGACCCAGTCACAGATGTCAGTTTGAGAAAACATTAAGTCGTAGTCGTTGCATTGAGGATGAAGGAGCATGTTAGTGGAAATGAGCTGCGGTGTGTGAGAGAGAGCAAGTAAGAAATAGGGGGGTGGTGGGGGGAGGACAATCAGACAGGAAGATATCCCTAGTTGGCATGGTTATATAACCGTCAGTCTTGTGGTTCCTAATCCAGTTGAAGATAGTGTTACAGTTGAAAAAAAAAAGGATGGGTGGGCTGCGGTAACAACAAACCTCTGCTGAGGGACATTTTTATTTTATCGTACATTTTTACAGGACCCGAGAACAACTCAAAGTAATTTCACAACAGTTAGTTGAAAGCTCATTTGTATCTGGTATTTGAAACAATGTTGTGTACATGCTCAAAGTTCTAGTATATTCAGAGCCATCATTTCTCAGCACTTTCACACAGTCCAACTTGTTCAAAACTCGACAGATGTATGAACACTCACAAGTTCAGAGAAGGACGTAGAATACATGCGAATGCTGTTATGACTCACCATCACCGAGGTAGACGGATTCATTCATAACTTAATGCTCAAGTGCACAATTCACAGGCCTACTATGAGGCTTGTAATAACCCTCCACCCACATATCTACTTCAATTAAAGTGTAATCAAACCACAATCTTTTATTTAGCAAATTGACTCCAAGTTGGGGATACAGTATGACCCCGCCCTCTCACATACACCCACACATTTGATGAAGTCATCATTTGCGACAGACTACAAACATGACTGTGTGTTACATATTTTTCATGGGCAGCTGTACATATTTTGGCCCTTTTTGATCATAGATAGAGGATAGCAGGGGGTGCATAGCCTGTTTGAAAGGCCATTTTTAATGAATCCTTGCAGTTAATGCACTCTCAGGCCATGTGGAGGAGGTCCTTTTTCTTCTAAGATGTGAAGCATGGGAAATTAGCAGGCATTTGTAAGCAGTATGCGGGTGGTGGGCTGGATCACAGGAGGGCTTACAAGCCTCAAAGAGCCTCAGAGTGCTCATAAAGAAGCTAAATTAACATGCATAGCTCAAACAGCTTAGTTTAATTTACCAAACAGATTGTGTTTGTGATAGTGTATTGAAAGAGGACTATAGGGGGAGGAACAATAATGTTTTTTATTCACACGTTTATGAGATCTCTTGGGGTGCAATCACAGCTATAAGATGAGTCCTCGCTTTCATCTTCTCGTACTTACTTACACATTTACTTTTAGTATTACTGGCCTTTAGTCACCCCTTTCTTCTCGGTCTACAGTTACACTTCTCAAAGATACTGTTTCTCACAGTGTTTTTTGTTGTCTTGTTTTCTCTTCTTAATATCTGAGATCACCCCCCCCCCCACAGGGAGATAATTACTGAGGGCTTTCCCACTTCTCTTGTTCTACTCCCCCCCCCTGCTGTCTTGTTAGTAAGGCAATGCGACATGCTCTGTCTTTTGAAGAGATGATTCGGAATCGTTGTGTTCTCCGTCTTTCATCTAGGTGTCAGGTATCTAGCGAGTTAGTTTACTGTCACTGTTGATCATTAAGGCGCACGTACACATGCTGGTCGCCCGTTGGCTTCCTTGCTGTTTCTGCAGAGCTCACTTTTGAGGCTGAACGGAAACTGATGTAGCCGAGGGTGAGCAGGATGAAAATACTTGTGTGGAGTGTTTAGCGATGAAGTGCGTGGGGGCTGAGCATCTACAATGAAGAGCTCCCTTCTATTATTTATAACTCTTCTCAATATGACCCAGTTTGCTGCACAGCAGTAACCACTGTCTGTCTGTCTGTCTGTCTGTCTGTCTCTCTCTCTCTCTCTCTCCCTCTCATTATCTAACTTATCTCTCAGACTGACATAACGGCCTATAGCCATACACACACACACACACACACACACACACACACACACACACACACACACACACACACACACACACACACACACACACACACACCATCTGAACTAACTCTTTATTTCAATCGCCTACCAATTTTACTGCTTTTAAATATTTTACACAAAATGGATAATGTGTCGAAGTAAAGACCTTGAGACCGAGAAAGAGATGGTGTGGAAGGTCAGACAGCACTGTGGACACATGATAATGTTATTTTGAGAAAAGTTTGTCTTTCCTGCAAACCAGGTCTTCTCCTTTTTCTGTGTTGAACAAAAATACTTTGGAGATTGTATTTGAGACACTAACAACAGCCAATAGGTGTTTTTGATTGAAAAATGTCCTCAACTAAACTCTAATCTACATTTTGAGGGTGATTACTTTCTAAATGTTTCCGTTTAGCACTAGTCTAGTGTACATGCAAATTATAAAGTTGCATGTATGTTGCTTGTGCTAATGACATAGAATCAATTAAGTTGCTCTCGGGAGATAAAGAAAGGAAGTAATGAAGATGAGAAAATCTGAGATTCAGAGCATTGGAAATCTTTATTCTTGGATTTTGGCCGTTAACCATGAATGTCCTCTCCTGAGGAAGTTAAAGGGACTGTTTTAAAAAAAATGTGATTGGCTTTCAGGGTGAGACAGAGAGAGAGATAAACAGGGAGGGGAGGAGACGGATAGAAACAGAAAGAAGAAAGAGTTTTTCAGTTTAAGTAACGTCTAGACCTGAGTCTCTCTCAGAATAATAATGAGCTCTCCGGGAGATCCATGGCAGGCCTGTGATTTTCACTGAGGCCAAATCTCAGCAGCGGCTCAGGCCCATATTTCAGTGGAGCACCCCCCATATCCCCAGCATCTTTATCCAAAGTCAAAGGACGCCTGTCGGCAGCAGCAGGCACCTCAAAGCAGAGCCAGAGAGCTGCCTCCCTCCTCAGATGGGCCAGGATCTGATTGGGATTCAGGAAGTGCTCAACCCAGTTATGTTGGCTGCCCAGTTTACATCATGCTCTCTTACTTTCTGTTCCATTTTTATTTCCCTACACCTGCACACCCACCTTCCACAAGGTCCCAGGACTAAAAACACAATTGTCACCTTAGTCATGTCTTTTCGATGTTCTGCATCATCAGGGATTTTGTTGTTGGGGTTTTGTCTTTGAAATTGTCTAAAAAAGGCTTTATACATCCGGAAATATAGAGAAACAGATCCACACAGTTTCTCACCAATATTAAAGTGTTAATGTTTCAGAGATCTTGGAAATATGTTCAGTGCTTTTCCCATCTTTGTTAAGCCAATTTTTACACATTCAAACTTCATTGTTAACTTCAAATCCTGGTTTTGAATGGCAAACATCTTTCCTGTTGGCCAGTTTTGTTCGCACATACCCCCACTTCGATAGACACACTCGTTTGTTAATATAACTTCCTGTTACCATTACATCACTTGATTGGATGTGCAGGTATAGCTAGCAACAGATGTAAATGTCCCTCAAAGTGTCCGCCACTCTTCCCTGCATCTTGTTTCACCCGTTTGTTTTTTCATTTTCATATTTCATGACACACATGAACTACAAATTGGCATTTATGTGCAGTCAGGACATCTGTGTGTTACATCACCGAGTGGTGGACGAAGTAATATGCTGTGTAGGATAGTCTGCTTTAAGTAAAGGTCCTGCATTCGAAATGTTCGTAAAGTATTAGCATCAAGCACCTAAAGTAGAGCTACTCGTTATGCAGAGTGGTCCAATTTAGAATAATGTATATTACCTCAGTGAATTATTGATGCGTTCATATGCATTTCTTTGATGTTGCTGCGGGTAAAGAGCTTTTCTTTGTTACATAAAGCCAGAGAGCTTTCACCAAGGGATCAATACAGTCTTATCTTTATCCATATTAATACATCATTTGATAATATTTATGTATTATTAATCTGAATCTGTTAATTAACTACAGCTCCTAAAAAGCGGTTGAGTAAAACAATTCCCTCTGACTAGTACAAGAAGTATGAAGTGGAAAAACATTTAAATACTTCTGTGAAGTTCAAGTACCTTAAAAGTGTAATAAAGTACAGTAGTTGAAATGCACCGAGTTACTTTCCACCACTTACACCACCTTAATGTTTCTGCTTGGTATAGAGAGGATCAAAATGATTATTTATTTTTATTTAATTTTTTTTTAAATCAGCTTGCAGTCTTTGGTAAGATTCATATTACATGTTAAAACTGTTAAATATTCTGTCCCCAGTTTGTTCATTTCTCACTCGCCCTTTGGGTTTATTTATCATTAGCTTACTTATGGCGGGGAGTGAGCAGTCTCACATACCTATTTTCACTAAAAACTCCTTCACCCTTCTCCTTCAGAGCACCACAGGATATAAATAAGCGTCCTTGTATATACTCTACTACCACCAAGAACAGCCTGTTAATGCTGAAATGTGGCACGTATTTTTTTTATTTTCCTTGCTCGTTCGGGGTAACAACTTTAGTTGATTATTTATTCCTGGCAGAGGAAGCAAAGCGCAAACCTGTTGGTATGCATTTTAATGTGGGACAACATGTTTGTCGCATTGAGTATGTGTGACGGACGTGGCCATATGCCAGTGTGTATTTCCCGGCTTCCCCTTCCCTCCTTGATTCTATGGTTCACGCATGGCCATTAAGGAGATCCCATTAATCACGCGAGACTCCAACCCCGTCTCTTCGCCTCATATTTCCACTCAATCATTCACAAACAAGGTGCTCTGTCAAAGACTTCAAAGTCACTTTCATCCCAACCCAATCATTCCCAAGCCACAGCCAGGGTGCTTTCTAAAACGCTCCTAGCCTTTTCATAGACAGTAACAAAGTGTTGTCCTTGCGGATGAATTTGGAGGAGATTCCACCATGTGTCAGCAAAGCAAAGTGGCTGATTGTGAAGGGTAGGATAGTGGACGCCTAATGTTGGGTTGGGTGGTTGCGGGGAGGGGGGGGGGGGGGGGCATTTGTGTGCTGCTCGGCCTGATTTTGGCAGATGAAGAAGGGGACAAAGCCTGCTGGTGGGTAATGCATCAATGTCTCCCCCCTACCCACTCATATTCACACATAAACACACACACAGCCAGACAGACAAGACCTGCCCCCTGTATCCCGACAGAGAGACGTCTGCTGTTTGACAGCGTGTCAGAGGGACTAGATAAATTCAGCCGCCTGCTCTTCACAGATCTTGTCCCTCCCCCCTCCTGCTGACCTGCGAAATGCTTCCACACAGCCCCCCATGAGACCTCACCTTCCCAGAGTCCTTTACACAGCCTGCTATGAACTGCTGTGTCTTATAAATGAGTGGTGACACACACCGTAACTAGTTTAGCTATACTATGCAAGTAAAGAAACATCGTTTTTAAACAGCATTGGTTATAGTTGGTAATGTTCGATTTTAGAGGAGGGTTTAAGCAGGAAACTCAAGATTTATATACAGTATGTTCAAAAATACCATCGAGAACTAGGCATGGCTATGTGAAACAGGTAACTGAGTGTTTTTTTGTAATATGGGTGACTCGACCCATCACACACTTTTCAGTCTCTCCTTCATTCCTTATCTTTAACTTTTTTAAACGCTGTTTCATTCTTCTTTCTCCTTTCTCACACACATACACACCCAAACACATAAAAATGTACCTCCAGCGGGAAGCAGAATTGGGCTGTCACTCAACTAGAAAACCTTAAAGGGGCGCAGAACCCTGCATGAGATATTAATAAATGAAATACAGCACACACACACACACACACACACACACACACACACACACACACACACACACACACACACACACACACACACACACACACACACACAGTACAGTACAGCTGTTCCACATCACACACATCTGTCTTGGACACACATGACTTCACCACCCTTCAGTTTGACTGGTGTAAGGTATTCATTTGGCCTCTATCAGTCAGGAAACATTGAGCTGAGCAGGAGGGTAGAGATGAGAGGATAAGGTTAGGAGGTTTGGCTTCCACCTTGTCAGCATACGTTAATAAGATGCTTCATTAATTACAGATTTATTTTTGGAAAAGTCTAAGCCACACTATTCCTTGCCTATTTTGAAAAGATCAGTTCCACCACTATCTTCTTTAATCTCATGTTAAAGCATCTTATATTTGTTAGGGGTTAGACAGTGAAGAGCATTGTTTACACGTCCCAAACTGTTTTGGCAATATTCTGGCACGGTGCTCCGTACCGACAGTGTATCCAAAATCTGGCTTGTTCCTTCTTTTTCCTGTCAGTCCTCTCCACCTCCTGTGTCCCCTTGACTTTCTCCTTGACTTGCTGCTTTGATAATGAAGCAGAGAGATAACAATCTTCAATTGTTCACCATTATTCTAATTAGACTATCATTATAGATTTCAAGGATGTGTGTCTGTGTTTACAGTACATTTACCGACCTTGGCAATGTACACTACTAGATATAGAGAGCCAATATTGGCAAACTGAAACAGAAACAGCCTTCTTTTTTTGTATGGTGTTTACAAAAAATACACATTCATTCATTTAATATATTAACTTAATGGATTTTGTTTTATCTTCACAAGCCCATATGCACAAACTGTATCTATATCCTTCAGTCCCTCGTTTGTTTTTGTATTTTTTGCAGGAGATGTTCACGCCGGAGTGCAAGTTCAAAGAGTCCGTTTTTGAAAACTACTATGTGATCTACTCGTCCACTGTGTTCCGGCAGCAGGAGTCGGGCCGGGCCTGGTTCCTCGGCCTCACCAAGGACGGGCAAGTCATGAAGGGCAACCGCGTCAAGAAGACTAAACCCTCGTCACACTTTGTGCCCCGGCCCATCGAAGGTAAGAGAAACCTTGTTTCCTGGAACAGATTTGAAGTGATCTTTTGTATTGCTTGTTTTGTTCTTTGTTGCTGGGAATTACTTTAGGAAAGATTCCCCCCAGAAATAATCTGATTTCCTTCCTTACATGTCTAGTATGAAAACTAGTTATATCCTTAAATTCTTTAATCCAGCCCAAAATAACATTTTGTAGTGCGTGCAGTGAATGTTCATCTTAATGCCCTTGTTTTCATCGTACCAACCCGGAAAACAAACAAGAGAGAGACTGAAAAGCTGTTTAAGTCCTACATTTAACACGTTTTGTATTTCAGATATTATTATACTTTAAAACAGGAGACCTTTATTGACAAATAATATTTTAGTGACACTACTTTGCAATTGCTTTGAAGATAGAAAAGGATAAACTATTTATGGTTTAGGGTTGGTAATAATGTTACGTGTAAACATCAATAATGTTACGTGTAAAACATCAACAGTTATTAGGAGTCCCTTCAAATAATATATTCAATAGGAATAGAAATAATACTGGACATATGATATACACAATTATAATATGCAACAATATAATGACGTTTATTAAAGGAAAGGTTTGTAGTTGGATGAAAATATCCAAACCACCACTGCTCGATGCCGCTTTGCATTGACATGAGAATTTCCTCAACTGCTAAACTGTTTTGAAGAGTCTATTGTTATAATGGTAAAACTCACTAAGAAAAAACCTCCTTTGTTTTGAGCATTTTTTTTTAGCTTTTGTAGGTACAAGTTTATTTTTAAATATCACCTCTAACATGTTTCTAGCATCTAATAGATATCATGAAAACTTGATAAGCAATGTCCCCCAAAAAAAGTGCTTACATGTTCTAATTCCCTGCCTGGTATAATTGTCCCTCCAGCCTCACACCTGACCTTGTCTCTGTCTACCCATCCATCTCTTCAATCTGCTCTCCATTGTCCCCTTTCTGAGCTCATGCTCTCTTTGTCCTGTCGTCTCCTCTCCTCTCCTCTCCTTCCTTCCTTCCTTCCTTCCTTCCTTCCTTCCTTCTCCTTTCCTCTCTTTACATCTTCCACTACAGTTTGTATGTACAGGGAGCCGTCAATGCATGAGATTGAGGAAAAGCAGCGCTCCAGGAAGAACTCAGGGACCCCCACCATGAACGGAGGGAAAGCTGTCAATCAGGACTCCACATAGCAGCGGGGGGAGTGGCCTCCCCCCCAAATCCGCACCACCTTCCCCTCTGAAACAAAAAGGGGGCGTTGCGACGAGGAGGAGCTACTACTGTACACCCAAGAAAACAAACTGAACTCTTGCCTGTGAAAACCTTTTAGAAGAATTAATATGAAACCAGAGGATATATATATATATGAAAAATCAAACATTTTCAATCAGGACTTGACCAACATTTTATGCAAAAAAAAGAGAAAAAGCTGTGATAAATAAATAAATGGTGGTCTCTCTCTTCACACAAATATCTATCATTTCCAATTTATGCTGTGAAAAACAAGCTTTAATACATGTACAATTTTCATACAATGGTTTCTTTTTCTAAATGCTATTGCACCCTCATATGCTTAACCGTCTTATTGTTCTCAGTAATAGCTGTAACATCTTCATCATTACTAATCTGTTGTATCTTGTCATCCCAGTTACTATCATGGTAATTCTGGCTTTCTTTTGTTTTTGAGACGAGAGAAAGTAATTTATTTTCAATTACTCAGATGTTTTCTCTCTCATAGTTTGATCTTGAATGCACTGTCACACTACCTGCTTTGGTGTGGGGGTAAGAATGAATGCATTTGATAGTTCTCTGTGTTGGACTCCAATGGAAACAGAGCGCTTAGGTTGGGATGTAATTTACTCAGGTGTGAACTGTAAGCGGGACTAATAGGACAGATAGGGATGTTTCAAGTATTCAAACATGGACTCCCCTCCCCTGTTATGCAATGACGAGACAAGACTGATTCAAGCAATATAATAGAGAGCAGTCTAGTATGTCTCTTAATAATAGTAATAATAAGCAGACGACACATCCCTGTGGTAAGTGTGTTTGTCAAAGAAAGTTGTACAGGTAGGTAAAAGTCTGAGTCAAAGGAAAGCTGTTTTGATATCGATCGCTTCAATATACTCTTTAACATTTGCAATGATTATTCGGTTCTAAAGTAAAGAGATGTCCAACATTGTCAAAAAAAATAAAATAACAGTATTCTCTCCAATAGCAAAGGAGAAGATATTGACCAGCATCAGCACTATGAGCCATGGCCAAAAAACGGTCATTTCACATTTACACCTCAAGAAACACAGACCAATGTCTCTGATGTTTGCTAGGCTAATACAACAACAACTCTCAAAATATAACCATGTAACAGTAATAATGCCTTTGAATATATGGACTAAAGTGTTCTCCTGTTTTTTTCTAAGCAAGAGAAGGAATGAAAGTTGTTTTGGCAGGCCCGGCAGTGAGGATACGTGTTGATTAGTTTTCAAGACTATTTCTGTTACCTTTACTCTGAGAGCATTAGAGATTTTCTCAACACTGGAGGACAGGGTGCCTGACTGTTTAATAATCCACTGACCTGACTTGGTGATGTTTTCAATATAGTTCATAACCATTAAGACTTCCCATCACAATGTAGCAGAATGTCTCATTGAGGAGCCAGTTCGTCTTGATTTAGCCAGGTTAGGGGGGGGGGATATCTTACCATTCCCGTGAGAGTACCTTATCGTTTGTTTTTCCTGACATGGTAACCAATAGATTCTCCACCCCCCTGGTTTTGTGACCCATGAAATGAGCCATTTGCTGCATTGTGAAGGAAGCTTCTCTTTCATAAATCAACATGCTGACAGGGCTGTATAAACAAGGTGAATTGACTGGTACACCGTGTACGATGCATAGCTCATTTCTAATCCCCAATTAGTTTGTCTAACTCAGGAAGTCCTACAAATTGTTCCGCAGATGGGGCCAGACATAAAGGCTGGCCGCTTCTTGTCCAGCAGCCGTTGCACAAAGCCTGGCCACCGATGGGGTGTTTAGGAAGGGTCGGGACGAGGTCGATGGTGTTTTTATTATTAGAGGTGGTGTACAGCTAAGCTAGCTAGTTTAGGAAGAGGGATACAGGAGCCGAGACAAAGCATGAGCATCGCATGACTTTAGGAGTTAATTTTGGTTAGATTTTGAGGTGAGAACTTGATTCAAATTCGGGGAGAATAGGTCCAGAACTTTTATATGCAACATTTTGATCAGTATTTTAGTGAGAGTTTGTATGTCTCTCCTATATCTGGTTGGAAAACATATGCTAAGTTGGTGGTATGTACAGTAAATAGCACACATTCAGTTGCACAGAGAAACCGCAGTGGTATATTATCATAGATCTGGTGTTCTACCTTGGGTATGGATTCTAAGCTGGTACGAGTTACCTGCGATAGCTAACGGTAGACTAGTTCAACTCACCTACAGCATAACATTGATACTTACAGTATATCAGACGTGACACTGGAAGTCAACAGGCAAGACCAGCATATAGAAACATCTTTTTATAGAGGTTTATTTTGGTGCAAATGAAAATACATGTGGACTCAAAGCAATGCATGAAATTGGATGTACTCGATGTCAACTGTTGGCAGCAGGATGAGAGGATTTGAGAAAGGGATGACTAAAGCAAGGCGGTATAAATATTTGATGTGTGAGAGTGGTAAAGGAATGCACTTTTTTGTGGGGGGGGGGTTATTGATGTATGAAAGGGTGACCAAAGGCTTAGGTTGTACGTGATATTAAGTATCATTTATTATTTTTATGTTTGCAGATGATTTCACTGCATTGGAACACGCTCATATATGCATTATGAATTGTGAGATGAAATAAAAAATATGCATTGATAATAAAATCAGAATGAAGTTAGTGATTGTTTAAGAATAAAGACTATGTTATCAAAAACGTTCACCTAGACGCTGTGATTGATTCAATGTGTTGTTGATCGTGACTGGCAGATGTTTTGTGAATCTTGTTTTTTATGAATGTGACTCTTCGCAACAACAAGAGAAGCAGCGACATGAGCAGACAAACTAAATCCATCAACTTGAGATTTCTAAGCGTTTCAAATTCAGAAAATCCAATCCGCTTCCTCTATCAATACACCAGGGGCAATTTATCTTCTCAACAGCACCTAAATCCTGTGTCATTTTGGGATGGCGCTCCTTCGCCCTTAATTCTCCCGTCGTCATGGAAACAGACCTTCCGTACCGTCTGCAAGGAGAATGAGGAAGAGGAGGAGGATGAAGGCTCCCCTGACTTCCAGGACGTGGTTTTGTCTTCATTGCTGCGTGATGGCTGCAGCACAGAGAACAGCAGAGTTGGGAGGATGGGAGGGGGGGGGAAGTATGTTTTATTTTTGTGTGTTCAGTTAACACAGTGGTTCTCAAACTTTTTCTGTCAGGCCCCCCCTTTGGAGAAAAAAAAAAGTCGGGCCCCCCCAACACAAATAGTCAGGCTCAGTGGCGGCGCCAGAGATTCTATTTTGGGGGTGCTGTGGGGTAGCTTGACGTTTCATAGAGGGTGCTCAAACATTTAGGGTTTCCCATTAATGTACTTGTCGCTACAGTGGAATGTTCTACTGCAACAATCCCCACACACACACACACAGTGTACCCGCGACTGTTACAATGAAGGCTCGATAATCAGCTCACGGCATATAGGTGTAAGCAGGGGTAAAGTGTTATTTTTATAGGTGGTGTGTGGACCTCACATAGGGGGGTCAGGGGGCAAGCTCCCCTGGGAAGATTTTTAAATATTGAAGTTAAAAGCATCAATCTGGTGCACTTTGAGAGCAACATGAAGAGATCTATGGATATTAACTTCAATATTTAAAAATCTTCCCAGGGGAGCTTGCCCCCTGACCCCNGAATGCGGTCCCTTCAACCATCAAAACTAATTTCATTCAAACATTCATGACCACTACCAAGCAGCTCTTCTTTTCCTCCCTCCCATCGTATGGAAGTAAACACATTAAACCAGTTTTCTGATAGTTTTGCCAACTCTGAGCTGTGGATTTAGATGTTGAAGACGCAGATAAGAAACACCGAGCCAGCAAGATCAAAGGAGCATCACTGAGCCTTAATTGAACAGAGACCAATTATTTTTAATGAGTAGAACTGAACGCCCCACTTCTGAGCAGGAGTTCCCTCATTCTCTCCTTGGGAGGACTAGAAAAGAGAAAGAAGTGCAGTCCCCGTGGAACAGGCCCATATCAAAACAACAGGACAAAAAGTAGACAGAGAGGGAAGAAAGATGCCTGGGATACAAGATCAAACTAGCTCTACTCTGTGTGCTCATGACTCTGCAAAAGACAAACGTGCACATGTCTCTAACATACTGTCCCTGAATAGATGTCTTTGTTGTAGACGCTCCTGAGACCTGAAATATTCATCAGCTTTACCTTCAGTATGGCTTATTGGTGTTGTACACCAAAGGATAGCTATAGTGTGATGTTGAGGAGATGTAGGCCCTATTGTTGCTCTAAGAAGTGTGGCTTATTGCATGATGTAGATGTATGAATATAGCTTTTTTTTCAAATAATAATTAGATGAATCAAATAGATTTGCGGACTGAGATTCTGTAATCAAAGTAATACATTTGATGAAATTAAAACAAAGAGAATCACCAATATTTAGGCTCACCCGGACAGCAGAGCTCAGTGACCCAAAAGCAGCGCCATATAGATAGAACCAGCGCCATATGGCGCTGGATAGAACATATAGAACTCAGTCTATATGGCGCTGCCCAAAAGTAACACACCCACAGGTCAGGTGCATGCTGGGTGGTCTGGGCTCAAATCGGTACGATTATCATGGTGGACCCACTGGCGTGTCTTCTTCGTTAGCTTAGCAAATTTCTGCGCTCTTTGAGGTGTTGTGAGGCCGAGTGCATTTAGTTTAAAACTGTTAAAACTTGTGGAGCGCATTAAAATCCAAAGAAGTTGGACCTGGAGAAGGTTCACGCTGCTGAAGACTCACTGAAAGACTTTCAGACAGGTGAGCAGCTATACCTTTAAGCAGTATGATATGCTTGTTTACTGTAGCTACCTACAAACTGTGCGGGCTCTGTTATTGGGGCTGTTGAATTTATATTGTCTTTACATCGCTGTGTTGACTGCCTTGGGAATGCTTTATTCTGTTTTTGCTTTGTTGTTGTTGTTGTGTAGCTTTATTGTGAGAATTTTGCTCTCTACCGCGGTGAAGTTAGTTTTAGGTTGGTTATTGGACAGACGTCATGTCAGTCTATGTCCAGCATTGTCCTGTTTCACAGACTGTGGGCGGTCAGAGCGAGGACAGTTAGCTCAAACCTTGTTTTACCACAGGGCTTCACTAAGGGACAAACATTAATTGCAAGTTTGAATGACACCATCCATAGCCTACCAATGTTATTTCAATACCTCGATCCAATGCTTACTCATTAGTGAAAAGTATGCTTAACATATTATAAATGTGTCATATGCTGCACACATATTTATCTAAAAAAATAGAGTAAAGAGATGTATATATAAAACTGAAAGAAGATATATTCAATATATTCCATATCAATTGCTCCAAATAAATGCAGCATATTATTACACCTCTTCGGTTTTTGGATTGGGTTTTAGTTATTTTCCTATTTTATATGACTAGAGTATCTTTATAAACGAAATAGCAGTTTTTTAATTGAAAACTTATAATTTTTAATAAATGGTAAATGGAATGCCTTTATAGAGCACTTTTCCAGTCGTTACAATTCACCCATTTGGGCTGCCATACAAGGAGCCACTGGCTCAGGGAAACATTCACACACATTTGGCCATGCCCAAAATTAGGATTTTCAATCTGAACCTCACAGACAGTTTTTGAAAGTTGCTAGGGCCATCATGAATCATGACCCTCAATTCAATAAAGAATTGACGTTCCTGATTCAATAAAAAAAAAGTTATTATTGTGATTCATTATTTTATTATGATGATCTCATTCAGTTCCTGCATGTTCTTATTATGGCAATAATTTAAATTATACATGGTTATTATTAATTACATCTGAGATTTTAATGCAGCCAGTGAGTCCAAGGTTGTGTCTTCCACACATGGAGGGCAGGATGGGAGGTGGGGGAGGACAGGTGAGTAGCAGAGGCCACAGTCAGAGAGGACAGCAGAGCTCTCCCTCTGTGTGTGTGTCTGAACAGATGACCCTGTTTTAGACTGCCAACTCCCGGCTGGTCTCTGAACAGCTGACCTTGACTTGTTTCTGCCCTTAGTCAAAGTTAATAACAGAGGTGGATGCTGTGAACAAGACGACATATCGATTGTTGTAAAAAACTATTTTTGCTCCGCATTTTTAAGCCTACTGCGATTGGAAGAGCAATGTATTGCCATGAAATGTGCTTTTGTGTTTCCTTAACAAAGAACTGCAATAACTTTGTTCATATCTTAACATTTGGTCCAGCACACAATTCAATGTTTTAAACACTCTGTATTATGACGCTTTTAGAACTTAATCTCAACTCTACTTTATGTTAATGCTCATTGCATTACGTCTGCTAAAATCAGCAGGTTGACATTGTGAGCAGTTTGCACTAAAGAATTAGTGCTACGCCCAAAGCACCGCTGTGCCTATAAGCCTTCTTACAGCCGTCATTATGGCTCTAGACTTGTTTTGAGTTTAGGGATTGGTGTTAGATAGTGTGTGTTAATGTAATGACATAGAGATAAAGAGTGTGAAATGCACTAGACGGGAACTTTCATCCCGCTTCTTTTTAAAAAAATGTTGCCATCAACTTTCATCCCTTTTTTTTGTTCTCTTTGAATTTTTTTCACCCCTTTCCTTTTCAATTTCATTGTGAGTACCTATACATTTGCACTCTTGTCAGCTGTTAACTGAACACACAAAAATAAAACATACTTCCCCCCCCCCTCCCATCCTCCCAACTCTGCTGTTCTCTGTGCTGCAGCCATCACGCAGCAATGAAGACAAAACCACGTCCTGGAAGTCAGGGGAGCCT